GGACTAGGTGGGGAGGTGGGTGACATCTCTGTGTCGATCAGCGGGGGAATCCAGATGTGAGATGGTCTACGTGTTGCATTTTTCCCTTTGTGCAGAGAAATTAGAACAAAGAGAAAAGAAATCAAGCTGTAAAATTTTTGCAGAAGGTTGAGCGTGTGCAATCGCCACTAGATATCCCTTGACAGCTCCAAGACGAGGGGTGGGGGTGGGGTGGGGGTGGGGGGAGCCCTGCCTTTTGATGTTCAGCCTCTTGAGTTTTCTTTTGTGTGGCCAGTTGTTTGAAGAACCTTTTGTTGGTGTAGGTGCCTGTGGAAGGGAGAAACCAGCCCAAGGTTCTCCTCAGGGTGGGCGTGGGAGTCGGGGTGGGGGCGCGGGCTGAGCTCCCAGCAGGGGCTCAGAGGCTGGGGGGGTGGGGGGCAGCTGGAGCCATCTTGACAGAGGAGGACACAACAGGATTAGCATCTGCCTCCAAGAAGGACAGAGAAGATGCTGCCCTGAGGCCTTTCCCAGGATGAGAGGCCCGAGGGAGTGAGGCCTGGGTGGTCTTCCCAGACGCCTGTCCCTGGGCAGGTGAGCCAGGCCCTGTGGCTTCTGTGCTGGTAGGAAAGCCTCCCTGCCAGGCTGGAGTCTAGGCCCAGCTGTTCTTCCTGCCACGAGGGCAGTGGACCAGGAGCCAGAAGACCTGGGTTCCGGTCCCGGGCCCCCCCCCCCCATTTACTGGCTTGGTGGTCCCGGGCTGGTAGTCACTTAACCGCGCTGAGAAGCTCCGTCATCCTGGACTGGTTGAGGCTGAGGGAGTCCACAGGGACAATGAACTTGGGTATGCACGACCCCCAGTGCTGGGGGCTGTGGCTTCTCTTTGTACTTGGTTGAGCTCAGCCCCGAGGGCTGGGGTGCTGAGGGAGCTTGTGACGCTCTCAGGAGGCCTTCCCTGGCCTCCTGTGTCCAGCTGCTTCCAGATGTCAGGCGTGAGCTGCCTTCTGTCCCCCCGCTGAGCCTCCTCGGAAGCCCTTGTCCATCTCGACGTGTGAATCAAGTGACGAATGGGGGCGCGATGTGGAGGGCGACTCCGGGCAGGACATTTAAAGAAGCTTATTATGACGTCACAGGAAAACATTAAAGGGGCAAATATTTTGTGAAAACCACACAAGTTATACCTGAATAAGAAACTGGTAAAAACATTGGCAGCTTATATAGTAGAAAGGGCAGGTGGTTTTTCATCCATCACATTCAGAGCGCTAGACATGGTGGAAAAAACAACACCTTGTTTGAAAACTAGGCAAATGGCATGAGCAGGCAGTGCACAAAAAGTGAAGTATAAATAGAAAAACAAACATGGAGAAATGTCCAGCCTCACTGGGAATCAAAGACATGCAAATTAACATCGTGTGTGTGTGTGTGTGTGTGTGTGTGTGTGTGTGTGTGTTTTCCAGACAAATTGGCAAAGATTTTTTTAAAAAAATAAATGCTGATACCAAATGCATATTATTATTCTTTTCAAGGGCGTGTCCAATAGGAGCTCTCATATCCTGCTGATGGGAGTGGAAACCTTTTTTGAGGGGAATGTGGCAGTTTGGATCCCAAGTTAAAACATGTAGACCCCAAACCTAACTACCAAGTCTTGTCTTGAGAAATTTACTGTACAGCCGTCATCAGAGCAGAGTAAAAAGTCGTGAGTGCAAAGGTGGTTCCCGGTGTGCTGTTTATAATAGTGAAAACCTGGAAGCAACCCAGCCACCCAACCCGGGGAGGCCCTGAGCGTAAATGCACCCACTGCAGATCCAGGCAGCCCCATCGCACGCGTCCGGACAGTGGTGGACTAAGACAGGCTTTCAAAATCATGAAGAACATTGTCTGACACAAAAAAATGCTCACATTATGAGGCCCGAGGCCACGAGCCCGAGATGCACACGTGTGATCCGTGGCTGCAGAACCGAACAGCTCCACAGCTGAGCAAATGTCCATTCAAGTCTGCGAGGACGGCCCCCGTGTTAGCAGCCGGAGTGCAGTTTTTTCCTTTCTGCTTTTGTTTTTCAAATGTCTGGCATGAAGCACGTCTTTCCTTAGAAATTACATAAAATGCCATTTAAAACAAGCTTAGCCCAAAAGCAGGGCAAATTATGTGACAGGGTGAGCAAGATCGGGCGGATCTAAGCTGGAGTTATGTTGGCGTTAGAGACCTAAGGGGGAAGGCAGGCAGCGTGCTTCCCGGGGTGGCATGAGGAGGGCTGTGGGGGCTGTGCCGATGCCTGGGGAGCCCATGGCCCTCTTGCCTAAGCCAGGCTGGTGGAGGGGACAGTGGGCGTGGAAGTGACAGCTGAGACCAGTACATGGAGGGTGAGCAGGTTGCAGGCAGATGAGGAGGGGGCTTAGGAGAAGGTCTTCAGAGGCAAGGAAAGCCATAGGGGGGCAGGCAGAGGGTCCTCACACAGGGAACACTAGACAGAAGCAAGTTGGCTGGAGCTTAAGAGTGAGAAGTGGAAGCAGAATTGGCATATCGAGAGCCCTCGAGGCCACGGGAAATGATTTCGATTTTATACAGAGGAAAACCTGGGAGCCATGGAAAGACTTCAGTCGGTAAAGGGCATCCTCAGATGCTTAGAGCTCCTGTTCTGAGAACAGCCTAGGAGCAAGCTGTTTGTTTAAACGAGGCATGTGGCCCCCAGGCTGGGAGTTTGACATGCTTGGCCTAGAGGGCTCAGCTCAGGAGACAGAGGGGCTGAGGTCTGGCAGCCCAGAGAGCAGTGAATGGATTTGGAGCACTCACCTCTGGGTCCCAGTGCGGACCCCAAAGTCGAAGCTGATGTCATGGATTTGGGAGTCAGGAGCGCGGAGGCAGTCCTGTGGCTGTGAGGGGTGAACAAGGGAAAGGGTGCTGAACCCTGAGGAGCAGGTAGGGACCAGCAGAGGGGAGGAGGATGGGCGGAAGGAAGGCTGCGGTCCCCGTGCGGCAGGTGGCTTGCGGCTGCCACCTTGTCCCTGTGCCTCACTTGGTCTCTCCTCTGTGTGTGTGCCCTGGTGTCTGGCTCCGTGGCCACACTTCCTCTTCCCAGGACACCAGTCAGATTGGATGAGGACCCACCCTCACAGCCTCATTCAAGGCCCTAACCACCTCTTTCAAGGCCCCATCTCCAAACACGTCACATTCTGAGGTCTCGGGGTCAGTTAGGGTAGCAGGTGAATGGGGGTGGCACAATACAGCCCTTAGCAAGCGGATTTGGGCACAAGGAGCTGCCAGGTCCCCTCCCCACCCTGAGTGTGTATGGCGGGCCGGGTGCCGAGGGAAATGAAGTCTCCCCGTGGTTCAGGCCCTGCAAGGTGGTCCATGAGCGTGTGGGGGGGAACGGGGGAGCCTAGGAGAAGCTCTGCGGTGGAGGAGGGGACTTGGGGGCAATCTCCGGCCCCCAGGTGCCCCTTCCTGACGCTCTCCCTGCCCCTTCCACAGCCTGCAGCTGCAACCTGCACGCCCGGCGCTGCCGCTTCAACATGGAGCTCTACAAGCTGTCGGGACGCAAGAGCGGGGGCGTCTGCCTCAACTGCCGCCACAACACGGCCGGCCGCCACTGCCACTACTGCAAGGAGGGCTACTACCGCGACATGGGCAAGCCCATCACCCACCGGAAGGCCTGCAAAGGTAGGTGGCGGGGGCGGGCCTCGGGCACCCCTGCCCCCTCTCTTTCCTCGCTGCTTCTCCTTTCCTGTCGCTTTTGTCCATGATCATACACGCGCCTGCCCGCACGCACGCACGCACGCAGGGCCTCCCTGGCATTCGGAGGTGCAGGCCCAAACAAAGGGGCGATGCAGCAATGACTGGGAGAAGAAGAAAGGAGGTGTGATCTCTGCGAGGGTGCAGGTCGCCCCGCCCCCTCCCAGCTGCTTGTCCCTCGCACAGGTGTGCCGCATACCACAGGGCGGGGGTCAGGTTCACCCGGCTTACCATCGCACAAAGGGCTCTATTTTACCAAAACCCGGCAGACGGATTTCTTTGGATGTCGCATGCACCTCCTGCCCCACCCCCAGCTCGCACAGACAGACAGCGCGGCTTCAGGGGCAGGGTCGCCGAAGGAGCATTTAATCCACCTGCAAGTAGCTTTACTGCTCAGGACAAAGTACGCCAGGGAGATGGAGACTATTTTCGTTCACTGAAGCAAGCACTGATGTTTTAACCTTGTGTGTTTGTTTTCTCCCACGAACACAAAGAAACAATGGTGAGATGGCTCAGAAGAGCTGATGAAACCCCAGGGAACTGCATGATACTGGGGGAGGAATGAGCCCCACCCCACATTAGCTTCTGGGAATTCCAGGAATCGGGGCTCTTTGGGTCCAGAATTTGGAGGCTGGAGCCAGGGCTTGCTGTGAGCATGGCTTCCCAAGCTGATATCTCTGAGGGCTCTTGGGGGACACTTGAGAGACCCCAGCCATGGCAGACTCGGGCCCAGGTGATGAGCTGCAGCAGAGAAATCCTTCCGTGGCCACTGCTTAGCCTTTGGACGAAGCCAGAGCATCATCTTCTCAACAGGAAACCCACCGGATGTCGGGCACTGGTGCGCAGGACAACCGCACGACCTGCAGGCCCCGGTGCAAAATGAAAACACAGGGCTTCGTGCCCGGCCGGCGGGGCTCCATGGTTGAGCGTCTACCTATGAACCAGGAGGTCACGGTTCACTTCCCGGTCAGGGCACATGCCCGGGTTTCGGGCTCCATCCCCAGTTAGGGGGTGTGCAGGAGGCAGCCGATCAATGATTCTCTCTCATTATTGATGTTTCTATCTCTCCCTCTCCTTTTCTCTCTGCAATCAGTAATACACACACACACACACAGACATAAAAGAAAGGAAATACAGGGCTTCTTGTTCAGGAATTGCTAAGGATTTCAAAATGGCAACAGCAGAGCTTCAACCAAGCATGTGACCTTATGAGCATGTGCCTGTGACGCTGGCCTTGCTTGTTTGAAACGCTTTTCTCAAAAAACAAACAAACAAAAAACATACGCCAAAAACCCCCACAAGCCAACAAAAGCAAAGCAGGTTCCCAGTCTGCGTCTTCCGGGAGAAATCCCTTCGATTCCAAATGAACAGGTGGCTCCAAGTGAGCTCTCCTTTCCGATCTGTGGACTTAAGGCTGCCTCTGGTGGTTGTCAAGAGAAACTTAAGCATAAAGGTAGTTGGGCTATTTCCACATCAAACAACAACTCATCCAGGTGAGAACCCGCCCCCCAGGAGACTTGAGCAGGGACGAATAAATCGGCCTGGGCAAAGGGACTCAACAAAGGCCTGCAGTGGCAGGAAGGCATGAGCAGGACATGACCAGCGAGTGAGGGCTTTGGGTTGTCAGAGAACATAATTGGAAGGTAATCCAACTCCTTCACCTATGCCCAAGTGTTCATTGTATTTCACTGACAGAAGAAAGTGAAGCCAAGGTCTTATAAACCGCTGCTTGCACACAGATATCTTGGGGATTTGGCCAACAAATTTTGATCAAAAGTGGCCACTCAGCTGGATGAATGGAGAAATCTGCCGGTGGGTGAGGTCTGGGCTCTCCCTGTCCGTTTCCGCTGTCAGAGCAGGGAAGGTGTGTCCCCTGGAGAGACAGGAAGGAGCATCTTGGCCGCCCTGCCGTTTGCCTCCCCCTCCTCCCCTCCGTTGCTGTGGGACAAGGCCCACGTGTGGCCTCTTGCCGCTTCGAGTGAGATCTCAAGAAGCCACAGGATTCTGTTACCTGCAGGTCATCCTCTGGGGCTCTGCCACCTGGTTAAATGGTGTGTAGGCACCCAGCTCCCAGGAGGAACAAGTGCAGGCAGGCAAGGGTGTGGCCCTGTCTTATTTCAAACGCTGTGGCCAGCCGCAGTGGCTGTGTCTTCTCTCTCAGCCCTGGACAGCAGCTGCCCCTGTCTTGGTAGGAGCACAGGGAGAAGAACCCACAGAAGGAGGAGGAACGTATGGATGGATTCTGCTCAGAAGGATTCCTGCATATCCTGCTGGGGAAAAGTGACAGGAAAGGGCGGGACTCTCAGTGTGTCCTGATTGGTGAGAAAAAACAATGCTTCCAGGATCCTGCCACCTGATTGGTGAGGGAAAACGCTACATGGCTGGTCCTAACACTGATTGGTGGGGAACAGCATTGCCCGAAGGGCTTCATGCTTGGTGAAAAGCCACTTCGGGGAGGAACTGCTCTGAGCGCTGAGCAAGAAGAATGTGACCTGACAGTTCCAGGTCCCCCCCTCTGCCCTTCTTTTCCTGCTGTCACCCCCGCCCCCCCGAAGGAGATGTGGGAACTTGGACTCCTCAGTTCCCTCTCAGGATACTTCTCAGCAAAGGGAGACCCTGCAGTCTTGTCAGGAACCAGCTGCAGGAGCTGAGATGCTGGCAGGGGATATGCACCGTTGAGATCTGCAGAGGGAGGTCTCTTCTTCACCTCCATGGAGCCCGCTGTCTTGCCTTCCAGGGCTGGATGGCTTAAGGAAGTGATTCCTTTGGCGGAAGCATTTGGCCCAGTATTTTGATCTCCCAGGGTTTGCTCTCAGAAGCTTCCAGACCTTGTCGCTGAGGAGCTACCCCCATGCCCTGGCCTCCTGGGGTTGCCCTCAGGGAGCCTCGGCCTAGCCCTCGGGTGAAGGCCGCCTGCCTCCTCCTTTGCTCTGTTTCCGATGCATTTTCCAGGGGCACTGAGACGACTGGCCGTGGCTCTTGGCGCAGGTTGGCAGTTGGCCGGAGGAATGGCATCAGGGCCCCCTTTACCGCCCGACTTCCCAGGGCCTGGGAGGAGCCCGGCAGGGGGCTGAGGCCACCCATACACTCCTGGCGATGGCTGACTCCCAACCTTGTTCCGTCTAGAGCAGGGGTGGACCCAGACAAGAGCGGTGTGGAGCGAGGGCATTCGGTTCCAAACGTGATTATGCAGTCCCCCATCCGGGAAGTTTTGTAGCAACAAATTTGTTGGGTTCTTTCTCCTCTCCAGTGGTTTAGAACCAAGCCAGGCTGGCAGGGCTGGCGCATACAAAGGGCTGTAATAAACATGCCCCGGGAACAGGCGGCTGCACTCTCCGGCTATTCAGCGCGATTTCACAGCCCCGCGAAGGCCTCATTATGGCGGGGGCTGTTGTCCTATACAAAGTCAGATGAGATGAATCTCTCTCTTTTCTCCCCAGAATGGTTTGTGAAGGATACGCGTCCTGGAATCTGTCAAAAGCTTAGGGGGTTTTGTTTACCATTTGTCTTCTTTATGGACCGGGGGGCGCTTTTCCCTTTGGAGCCAGCAAAGAAGACGTTGCCATTTAACCATTTCAGCCATGCCCCCATTTAAATGATATTAATTTATCATCTTCCCAAACCATCTGCGACGGATAAAGACATTCCGGGAGTCTCCCGTGAACCGCATCGCGATGAGAATTAAGAAATTAACCACCACATCTAGCGTCCTGCACAAAGGGCTTCGTTCCGTCTCACTGAGCAGCCTGTTTCTTTCGCTCTCTGCCCTGCCCCCTTCAAGTCCACGGTCAGCGCTGCTGATTGAATGCAGGCTGCTGGGAAGGTGCGAGTCCTCAGAAGATGCAGGCGGTGGGAGCAGAGGAATGTGGGTCCTCTCTCCTGGCCAGTGCACACCTGCTGCTCCCATCCACCCCCTGCCGCTCTGCCAGGGGTTGGGGAAGAAGCCAGCGCCTGGGGCCGCCCCTTGGCTCCCTGCCCACTGTGTGTAGCTTTCCTTTTCTCTCCTTTCCCTGCTCATCAGGGCATCCTCAGTACAGCAGGTCCTTGAATAGTGTCACTTCCTTCAATGCCGTTTGTTATAATGTGGATGAGATATTGTAGGAGCTTGTTAATATCAGTTCGCTTTTAGTAAAATTGGTTTCGTTATACGTTATTTCAGTTGAAGTTGCAGAAGCTATTGACAATGTCTGTATCCTTTCTCCGACTTGTGTGGAGGGTCCCACCCTTGGCTGCACTTTGGAATCGCCTGGAGATTCGAAAATCCTGAGGCCTGAGTCCTACCCCCCAGAGATTCTGGTTTAATTCCCGGGCCAGGTGGGTCCTGGGAACCTGAAAAGCTTCCCAAGGTGGGTCAGATGTGCAGCCCAGGCCGAGAACCAGGGCCGTGGGAGAATAAGGAGGAGCGCTCTTGGGTTGAGAAAGGTGGCCTAGGCCCCGGGTTTATTCTTTTGAGGGGAGAGGCTTATTATCAATGAATTTAAATGTCTTTTTCTTTATGCCTCTCTTGATGAAAACTGGGTGGAGGGGGTGTGTGTTTAAAATTTTTAAATTTAAATCTTGCCAGGTGAGGCTGGGAGCTTAGCTAGGCAGCCGAAGTTCCAGTGTCCAGTGAGAGCATGGGATCAGGTGTGTGCACCCATGTGTATGTCTGGACTTGATCACAGTCAAAGCAGAGCTAGGAACCTGGGGCCCCACCCCTTCCTGACTCTCAGGCAGAGTTCATGCACCCCACAAAAGCCTGAAAGCATCAGGAGTGCCCCTGCACTCTGTAGGTCCCTGGTCACGTTTCCATTTCCTGTCATCACTTTAGGGGTGCAGGGAAAGGGTGGTCACCTTAGGCAGGAAGGTACTCAGTGGCTGGAGCAGCTCCCAGCTCAGAGGGCAGAGGCCACAACCAAGGAGTGAACTGTGTTAGGGTGCGATGAAGG